ACTGCAGCCTTGACCTGCTGGGCTCCGGTGATCTCTCCACCTCAGCCTTCCAAGTAGCTGCAACTATAGGCATGCACTACCATGCCTGGCTAATTTTTTGATTTATTGTAGAGATGAGGTCTCACCAAGTTGCCCAGGTGGGTCTCGAACCTGTGGGCTCAGGCAATCCACTCACTTCAGCCTCCCAAAGCATGGGATTATAGGCTGAGCCACCGAGTCCGGCTAAATCTCTTAATATATGTATCATATAGCCTATTGGCTCTGCTTCTCTGGAGAACCCCGATTGATATAACCACTATTGTCAAACCTGAATGGCTTTTGAAATTAGCTTTTGTTGCAGACGTGGTAATGTTATTTGATGAATTTAATCTAAAATCACAAGAGATGTGTATATGTGAAACTTATACTGTAGTAAGTTACTAAAGTTGTTTGAATTACAGGTAAGGTCAAGCTGTTTATATAGTTCCTGTGCTATCAAAAGCAAAATACAATCCTTTTGTAGTTCATAAGTGTGATGATTGGGTTTTCATGCTCCTGTGTGATATTTGCCTCTCTTAAATCTTGTTACAGAGTCAGCACATTATGCGTCTGACAAACTTAAAAAAAAAAGCTAAAACAAGATCTCTATTCCCACACAAATTTGCAGCAGATATATTTTCTGAGCTCAAGCTACAGTTCTAACAGATTCTTGGACGTCAAAACAAGTGCAAAGGAAACTTCCACATTTAACTGTACAATTGAAGCGCTTCTACCTAACCTTTAATTGGAAGTGATTAACCTACAATGCAATGATATGCTAAAAGGCAAGTATCAAGAAAAGAATATAATAAAACTATATAAATGCCTTCCAATAATAAATATGTCCAATTAAAGTCATATGTTCTTGGACTGATACCAGTATTTGATATTTATCTATGTAAAGACATTTTCAAAGATGAAACACGTAAAATTTCATTATAGACCAGCATTAACAGTTTAACAAGGGCATGAGTGGTGGCTCATGCCTGTAATCCAAGCACTTTGGGGGGAGGCCAAGGTGGGAGGACTGCTTAAACCCAGGAGTTCAAGACCAGCCTGGGGAACATAGCAAGACATCGTCTGTACAAAAAATAAAAATAATTAGCTGGACGTGGTAGTGTGTGCCTGCAGACCCAGATACTCAGGAGGCTGAAGTGGAAGGATCGTCTGAACCCAGGCAGTCCTCTTGTCTTGGTCTCTCCAAGTGCTGAGATTACGAGTGTGACCCACTGCATCCGGCCTACCTAATACTTTTTGAAGAACAAACTTTGGGAAAGGCTATCACTGCTAGCCTTATAGTTCTCACTTCAACTCCTGTGCTTACTTACCATCTCCTTATCAGTTCAGCCACCTACACCCATGGCCACCTTCTGGCACATGGAAGCAACATGTTTGGGAAGACTGCTGACCTATAAGAGGAGGTCTTTACTCAACTTCCTTTGTGCCACTTAAGTAGCTTCTTCTGTCCACTATCACCAACTTATTATACCACATCATGATCTGTCTAGCTTAAGTAGTAGCTGTGAACTCGAAGACAGAGTAAAATAAATTAGGGTCTACTATAGTGCTTTGCACTAAGTATCTGTAGAACAAATAAAATGTTATACATAATATAGGAAGTCAAGGAATACATATATATATTAATTTTAAAGACGTAGGGGCCGGGTTCGGTGGCTCAACCTGTAATCCCAGCACTTTGGGAGGCTGAGGCGAGTGGATTGCCCACAAGTTCGAGCCCAACGTGGGCAACTTGGCGAGACCCTGTCTCTACAATAAATCAAAAATTAGCTGGGCATGGTAGCACGCACCTGTAGTTTCAGCTACTTGTAAGGCTGAGGTGGAAGGATTGCCAGAGCCCAGCAGGTTGAGGCTGGAGGGGCCATGAGCATGCCACTGCACTCCATCCTGGGCAGCAGAGTGAGACTCCAACTTGAAAATAAATAAATAAATAAATAAAGATGTGGAGCACGATTCAGGATTAGGTATACCTGTTTTGAGAGCAGGTACCCTTATAGATGTGCCCCTCCCCTACCTGGAAGTTTCTGGCTACTGTCAATCTCTTATAGTATTATGGTAAGAACATGTGGTACTCAGTTTTTTGTTTCTGTGATAAATCACTGGGTATTATAGACTCTAGATCCATCCAAGTTGCTGCGAAGTCCATAATTTTGCTCTTCTTTATAAATCAGGGAATATTACAGGTAAAGATCACGTAAACCGACCTCTTTTAAAACAGCAGAATGACTGGGCATGGTGGCTCAAGCCTATAATCCCAGCACTTTGGGAAGCCGAGGAGAGAATTGCCTGGGTCCACGGGTTCGAGACCAGTCTGGACAACATGGTGAAACCTTGTCTCTACAATCAAAAAAAAAAAAAGTTAGCTAGGCATGGTAGCACACACCTATAGTTCCGACTACTTGGAAGGCTGAGGTGGAAGGATCACCAGAGACCAGCAGGTCGACGCTGGGGTGGCCAGGAGCGTGCTACTGCACTCCAGCCTGGGCGAGGGAGTGAGACTCAAACTCAAAAAAACCCAAAATACAGAAGCTGGGCGCGGTGGCTCATGCCTGTAATCCCAGCACTTTGGGAGGTGGAGGCAAGAGAATTGCCTAAGCCCAGGGATTCGAGACCAGCCTGGAAAACTTAGGGAGACCTTGTTTCGACAATAAATCGAAAAAATTTAGCTGGGTGTGGTGGCGCACGCAGTTCCAGTTACTTGAAAGGCTAAGGCGGAAGGATTACCTGAGCCCAGCAGGTCAAGGCTGAGGTGGCTGTGGGTGTGCCACTGCACTCCAGCCTGGGAAACAGAGTGAGACTCCGATTCAAAAAACAAAAAAACAGCAGAGAACCTGTTAGGTGGTACACATCATCCTACCAAAAAAAAAAGGGGGGGGACTAGTTCAGATTTTAAAGGTTACTCAAGGTTATTTAGTGGCAGATCAGGCCCTAAGGCCAAGACAGTGTTCTCTGCACCAGTGCAAAACCATCCCATTATTCCCCCATCAACATAACCTAGCCAAATAAGGAACACACCCAAGCCTCTGTAGTTCTATTCTCAAGTTGTCTCACAAATTACTCAATCCAGTTCGTTGTCAGGTTAGATTTCAGGGCACAGTTTATTGGAAAAAATTTAAGCAACCGCAAGCCCCTCCCCATTCCAATATCTACCCCTCCACCTCTCAATAGAGAGCTGTCTCTATCATATGTGGGCTCTCTATCATATGTGGGCATGATGGGAAAGGTCCCACTATGCAAGTTACTCTCCAGCCTTCAACATGTGCTGTGTCAGTCCCTCAGACCAACGCAACTTGTTCAGAGAGCAGTGGTGCCACCCTGAGAGCACTTTAGGACAGTGCCATCTCCTGAGTTCACTGGTCACATTCCAACTAACTGTGACCAATATATGAGTTATCAGTGGGGGTCAAAGGTAGACCAGAGGCACAGGCTATTGAGGGAATTCCCTCTATTAAAGAGACTTCTAGGAACAACACATGGAATGCTCAATTTGTTAAAGTGCTCAACTACAACATTTAAAAAAGTGTTGGGAAGGTGCCTACTGATGAGAAAGCAAAAACAATCTGAGGCGCTTCTGAAAAAATACAAAAAAGTACATAAAAGGAACTGCTTACATCATTCCAGCAATGATGAGGGAGAGGAAAGTTCAGAGTTTAGCCTCTGAATTACTCAAGCTCTGGATCAAATGTATCCCTAGCTGGAGACCAACTCCTTTAATTCCTCTTGGAGACTAAATAAAACATTTATCACTATGTCCTTTGCTCTGACTCTTCTCTCACCAAACAAACTTTTAATCTGAATCTGATTTCCTCAATTAACATCACCACTACAAAAAGAAGGCCTATTATGAGCAAATGATCAAATTAAGTATGACCTGTAAATAACTTTCCTTTAGAGCTGGCTAGCCAAAACCTGGACTATGATGAGAGAACTGAGTTTGCAAATCTGCCAGGCTGAGAGACTCATACCCAAGAACAAGAGGTCCACAATATATCTCTCCTCTCAGAATGATGACAAGATTCTGGACCGGGGTACCATGTTAGTGAGGGTAAGTATGCATGTGCAGCAGTGGTTATCTATCTTAGAAGTCGGTGCATGGCCTCAGCAGTCACTTGTAAGTCCAGTGGGCAGTGGCCCAGCCCTGGCCCTTGCAAAGGTCCTGGTGGCGAAGGAAACAGGCATGGACTCTGAACCGACGTCCACAGTGGGGACAGGCATGCAGGGCTCCAGCATGGGTCTTCATGTGCTCTGTCAGATGGTGCTTCAGCTTGAAGCGCTTGTTGCAGATGCCACAGCCAAAGGGCCGAAGGCTGAAGGTCAGCATGATATGCCGGTCACGTTTTGGCTTCACTGCAAATCGCTTCCCACACAAGCAACCGAAGCGCTTTCCATCCGCAGGGGGTGTCCCCCCTAGCTTCACAGGCCCATGCACAGCCTGCCCTGCTCCCCCGGGCCCTCCACCCCCTGACAAGATTTCATTCCCATGAAGATCCACTGGTTTCCAGGATGGACCCCCTCCCCCAGATGTTGCCCCTGTCCCTGAGGGAAACAAGAATCCTAGATCTCCATTCCCTTCAGTGTTGCCTTCAGGAAACATCTTGGTCTCCTCCTTTGCTACTCCAGACTGAGTTCCACCTCCTGATATTTCCTCTTTAGGCTCACAGGGTTCCTGCTTAATGTAGAAGATTTTGGGGGGCAGTGCAGTAGGAGGGGCAGGAAGCTCAAGTGGTGCACTTTCACCCTCTGCAAGCCTGCAGGGAGTAGCAGATATGGGTAGTGGGTGGGATCCATGAGGATGGGAGAAACTCCCTGATACTCTCTGAGGCTGAGGAGTCTGAGAAAGTGTGGCTGACCCCTGGTCATCATCATCTTCTTCTTCTTCCTCCTCCTCCTCTTCTTCCTCCACCTGAATTTGCAACACCTCTCCCAGTTCACTTTCCTCCCCTCCCACGGGGCTCTCAGTAGAAGCCGGGCTCTCAGTGGACACAGAGGACTGCACTGGTGTTTGGAAAGGGGAAGAGCGAATGCACCAGCCTCCTGGAGAGGTTGTGGTAGAGAGAAGTGCGTGGTAGGAGGTTGCCCCACGGGCGGAAATTCCAACACCTAAAGTTTCTAGTTCTCTAAGAATCTCTGAACACTGATCTACTACCTGCCACATCTGAAGGCCACTGGCCACAAGGAGATGAGCAGGGAGAGCATCTAAAGGCAGGCGGAGGCGCCCTGAATAAATGAGCTGGAGTAGTCCCTCGAAGGCATCGGCTTCAATGACACTCGGCAGGGTGAGACGCGGCGCATCCCCCAGAAGAAGCTTGTCGTGGAAGTAAGGAGAGGCAGCAGCCAACACCGCTTTGTGAGCCCTAAGTTCCCGGCCCTGCACCAGGAGCGACACATCACAGAACTTTCCCTCTAGCCTGTGGCGGTTGAGGGATTCCAGGAGCGATGAGCTATGCTGCGGGAACTCGATCTGGATTGTCCGTGGGGCTGGGTTGCAGATGGGGGAGGGAGGTACAGGAGGCAAAGACGTCGAGGTATCCATGGCCTGCTTGGAAAGAGAGCTCCCAGAGGGTTTGGAGGGAAAATGGGGGTCGGGGGCCAAATTGCACGCGGGATGAAGGCTGTGAAGGAAAGAGATGGAGGTCACAGAAGCCCTGGATAAGGAGAACCTTGACTCCTCAAACAACTGCCCCCGCCCCCAACATTTCGAAACTTTACGGTCAGTGCGGCTTCTGCAAATCACTCCCGCACACCAAGAAAACAAAAACAAAAACAAAAACAAACAACAACAGCACACCAACCAGGGTTTTAACTTCCAGGACCTGTGGAAGATGAGAAGGAGGTCCTTCGGCCACGAGCCTGCCCTCGCCAGCCCAGGACAGCTCCTGCCCCGCCGCTCCGTTCCGCCTCGCAGCGTCCACAGAGGCCGGCTCCCGGGAAGCCACGGCCACCTGCACCTCGCGAGTCCGGGTTTGGCTGCCCTCGCCGCCGACACGCCCCCGCCACTACACAAGCGACGCGGACCTCGCAGCGACTCTGCAGCTACAGCGCCGTCCCGGGCCGGAAGCCGCCGTCTCCCCGCCGTCCCGGGCCGGAAGCCACCGCCTCCCGGCCGGAGCGAGGGCCGCAGCCAATCGGGCGGTGGCGGCCTACAAGCCTCGTGTTGACTGGTTGCGCAGGCGGGAGGGCGGGGCTTGGTAGGAGGCCGCGGGCCGTGCTGCGGAGGACCGAGAGCCAGGGCTTTCGAGAGCTCCGCCGGGACGGTGGGGCAAACAGCCGCCCCCTGCGTTTCCCAGTGATAACGTAGCTCCCGCCCCTCGGTAGGTGCTAAGAGGGGCGAGATGAATTGGGCACCTACTGTGTGGCATAGGCGTGTGCTCACATCACCTTGCATCCTCCCACTAGCCCTGTGTGGTCGGGGTGGCGGTCTCCAGCATGCGGGGGAGACAGGCTGTTAAGAGCCACTCAGCTGGCAAGTAGTGGGCCTGGGACGGGAATCCAGGTTTGCTAAAGAACCAGTTTCTTTCCTCCATTCCGCACGGGAGCGTTTTAACCAGCAATTAGACAAACCTTATTTCTACGTAATTAAAAAAAAAGATATATGTAGATATATCTTTGGACTCTTTTATCAGATAACGCCCGTTCCCAGCCTCTCTCCTCCTTAAGACTAAGTGAAACAGTGGGTGAGGGGAGAGCTAGACTGGAGAGGTTTAGCCAGTGCAAAACCCCCGCTTTAAAACAGGATAAATCTCGTTGGGAGAGTGACAGTCTACGAAGAGGGAATGGCATTAGGCAGGGATATAGGGTTTCTCTCCTAGGCTGTCAGCTTCCTCTCAAAGTAGATTATGTTACCCTGCTGGTCCGTCTGGAGATCCCAGCCTAAGAAAGACAGCACGGTGATAAAAGAACAATCTCCGTTTATTAAACATGTTTTTTTTTTTTTTTCTGTTTCACCACACACTCCAGAAAAAAAGGAAATGGGGCTGGGAGTGGAGAAAAAGGGACCGGGGTGGGGGGGATAGAGAAGGCTGGGAGTGGGTGGGGAGGGAGAACGAGAAAACAAAATAAAACAGGTAGGAAGAGTATCTTCCTA